GCTCCCCTGCTCCCCCCCGCCCCCTCCCCCCGGAGCCCCACAATGGGGCTGGGGGGGTGCGAGGTTCCCCCGGTGCTCCGGGGACATCCGACGGGGAGGGAGCTGCTGGCTCCCGCAGCCCGGGAGCTGGGGGGGACTAATCCAAGCTTGGGGAACCCATTCCTGGGAGTGGGGGAATGAGGTGAGATACCACCCAGAAGGGAGCTGCTGGTGAAGGGCTGGGGCTCGGGCAGAGCATGGGCTGGTTGGGAGATGATGGATCCCTGGGAGCCGGAGCCATCCATCTGGGGAAAACCATCCGGGGTCCCGGGGACTGGCCAAGGGCTGGACAGGGAGCAGTCTGAATCCTGGTGGGGACCGCAGCAGCACTGGTCATCGGGCGGCCACGGGGCCAGCACTGTGGTGTTTGGGCCATGTAGCTTGGCTGTCTGGCAAGGAGAAAGGGGCCAGAAGGTGCTCTAAGGGGGACTAGGGGAACCCTGGTTTAAGGGTGGGAGTGGGGGCAAAGCTGGGACTGGGGGGAGCCCTTTTTGCCTTTGCACTGCGGGCTCTGCCCCAGCCATACTCTATGCACTGCACTGTGGTGAGAAGGACACTTTGGATCCCTGGAGGTTTCCTCAGGGAGCTGCTGGGCACTGCAGCACAGCACCCTGCGGCAGGCAGGATCGAGCCTCTCCACCCCACCCAGCTGCACCCCCAACACCTCCCTGTCCTCCTTGCATGGACTGCGGCACCCCTTGGGTGGGTGATAGCAGGAACCCAGGTGGGGGCTGTGGGGATGGAGAAGAGGCAAGGGCTGCAGATGTACCCTGGGGAGGAGAGATCCCCCACCTTGGTCCCGGGATGGGGGATTTGGAAATACAATACCTTGGAGAGACCTGGGCTCGTCTGCCTGGATCGGGATGTCTGAGCGGGGTTTGGTGGAACAGGGATGGATGGGGAACGGCTGTTCCCTGCTTCTTCCAGAGCAAGAATTGGCGGGCACCAGATGAAATAGCGGGGTGCGAAACAAGCAGGACAATGTGGTTCTTTGTGGGAAACGTAGCTGAGCTTTGGGACTGCCTGCTGCAGGGGTCGTGGGTGCTAAACCTCTATATGGGATCCAAGCACCATTAGACAGAGGAGTGGCAGAAAAGCACAGAGAGGAGGATGAAACGCGAAGACACTTGCTCTGCCGCAGGAAGAGCCTGTGCTGCAAGGGCCGGGATCGGGAGCAGGGATGTGCAAGGGATGTGGCTTGGAAGGGAGCGTGGAGGGGATAAGGGGGTCTGGGAAAGTGCTGCTCTGCAGAGTGGCTGGATCCCAGAGGTGGGACTGCTCATCACTCTGGGGACCAGGGACCCTCTCCTCTCGTGACCTCTGGCCAGACTCAGTGGATCCTGTCCTTGTGCCTCGTCATGGGCATGTCCAGGTGTGCCAGGCTGCTGTGTGTGCACAGCCTGGCACAGGGGCATCTTGGGCACCCACCAAGGGTGCTCCTCAGTGCAAGCTGTGGGTGCAATGGCCATGGCTCAGAAAGGATAGTTTTCCTCCAGAGATGAGGAACATTGGTGCCTGATTCAAAGTCACATCAGGTCCTGCTCTGTCCTGGTCTCTCCTCCTCCTATACCTGCCTGCGCCTGCGAGGGATGCAGGTCAGAGCAGTACTGCACCCCGACTTCAGCTCACCATGGAGACATCCTTGCAGGGGACAGTGCCCCTAGAGATGGGCAAGGGCTGTGCTGTGACACCAGCCCAGTTTCAAGTAGAGGTTTCAATAGGGAATATTGGTGCTGGGATGGCTCTGGGTACCTCCTTCTTGGGGCTGCAGATGAAAGAACCAGGCCAGATCCTCACACCAAAGCAAATGAGCAGATATTAATCTTCAGTGGGGTATGAATGAGTGTGGGAGGGACATGGCAACCTTGGATCCAGACCCACTGCAGCCTGCATTGACCTCTGACCACTCCTACCCCTGTCCAAAGGTGCAGGGATGTCCTCTCCTCCTCTTCCTTGGGGTGCAGGATGGGGTAGGGATGCTGCAAAGGAGACATGACCTTGTTACCAGCTTCTGGGTCTCTAGAGCAGGGAAGATGCAATGAGTTGCATCTGAAACCTGGGTCCGGGGCTGGGGGGCAACATAGTGGGGTGTCGAGAAGACCGGGGCACATCCTGCCCCGCTCCTTGTGCCCTGAGAGGGAGCTTTAACCTCTCTGGGGCCCGGCCTTGCAGGCAGCGGGCAGATCCAGCTGTGGCAATTCCTTCTGGAGCT